ACTGAATTTGCTCTACTGTTTTGATACATGTTTCTCTCTCCCTTTCTATAATCGGTTAGGTATCTATTTTCCCAGCTTTCCCTATTTCTGATGTTGCTATAACGGTGGTCTTGCGAATACCTGCTAGGACTTGGTTGCCTATTTCCCCAATTATTGCTATTCGCGTTAGGGTTATAAAGTCTAGGGTCGTCATAGTCATTGCTGCGCCCCGTATTGTCTACATGGGATTCTCCATAAATATTTTTCCCATAGTTCCTATCGTAACTTCTATCGTTTCTTGCCTCGTAACTGGGCTGGTAGTTAGCTAGATCTTGATACCTCCCTCTTCTAGACCGATTTGTAACCTGATATCTATTTCTATCCCTCCTATCTTCGTAATCTCGATTATCTCTCGCACCATTTTGCATTCCCCTAGGCTGGGGCCCTCCCCCCTGATTTTCGTTGTTATAATTAGTGATATATGACGCATAACCCCCGTTAATAGGTTTCATTTTTCTATCCTGCGCAGACTTCGCACATCTATAAGCTTCTTCTAAATTCCTAGGGGCGCGTGCGTCAACCGCATTGATGATTTCATCAGGCAAGGCCCCCACAAATGTTTTTAACGCTGTTTGCTTTACTACATTCATGGTTACTGTCTCTGTATTAGCGTCGAACGTAGCGCGTAGGGCTGCACTTGCCCCGCTAAGCAGTCTTAACAACCTGTCATATAGGTCGGCTAGGTTCTCGTTCCTATACATTTTTAAATTCATGATTTCCCCATAATATACTTCAAACGGTTGCCCGGGCGCGAATCTTTCTTTCAATAAATCTATTATATCTGTGAGTCTTGCAAATTGTTTATTGTCGGTGCAGTCCCTTGCTGCTCCTGACAATTTTCCTAGCACCGAGGCGATTAAAGTTCCTTCATATTCAGGAGGGAAAGTTAAAGCTGCCATTACTATATCCTGTATAAAATCTTTAACCGACATGTTCCTTCCATCGAAAACCCTTATCTGTTGTAGGGCTGTTTGTATATTTAAAGTATCCGCAATAGATCGGGCAGCGGCAAAGCCAGCATCTTCTTCGCCGTTTGCGATAAATGGTCGCTGAAGAGGTAACCCGGAATGCAAACCTAAATCTGTCCTATCTCTATACAGTTCTGCTACACTTGATGCATTTAAATTTTCGCGTCTATTGTCCGCGAAAGGGTTGTCAGCGTGTCCATGGTTGTTGCCACCATTACCGGATTGACGGCGTTCCCCGTTTCGTTCCTGGTCCGTCATGGTTTTTTTTTTTTGTTAGGACGCAGGGATCAAAAACAAATAAAATAAATTCGTTACTTTTTTTTTTTTTTAAAAAAATTATTCAGACGATATTCCGAAGCTTTCGTAATAGGCCCTAATTAACGGGTGAGACAACCAACCTACACTGCCCGCTTGTTTCCAACCTATCACTGCTACTTCAATGTTTTCTGTAGTAGGGTAGATTGGCTCAATGACCTCGAAGTATGTTTCGTAACCTTCTACCTCTACGATAATTCCACCTAACACTCTAAATTGTTCCCCAAATAAATTTACAACAGTGACGTCCGTCGGCCAATATTCAGTGGATAAAAGTTCCGCGGAAATAAAATTTTCTTTTGTCTCTGAAGTAATAATGAATTCTGCTGATCCACTAACTATGTCTTCGCTGTGTAATACTCTGCTATGCGATTCATGCACGTAAGACGGTACCAATTCATTGAACAATAAGAACGCCATTAAAAAAAACTTTACTAGTTGAATTTATAAACAAAAAACAACAAAAAAAAACTCCTCATAGTTACATCAAAAAAAAATGTAATATATATTTTTTTTCTCTAAATACTCATATGACTATGTAACACGACACGGTTTCGTATTTCGTATTCTTTATACTCTTTACCGCAATTAAGAAAACACGCCTTCACACATCTACTGCTGTTCGATTAATACAGCAATTATATGTCATCTCTTCTAATTCTCAAATCTAATCGCTCAATAAAGTTTAATAATTCGCTTCTATTAACGCAAATAAAATTCTTTTATAGACTCATTGTAACTTGTATCTTTTTCCTTTATTATTATTTTAATTCTTTCACCTATATATATTCCGCCGATTCAGCACTCTGGCCGCGACTCGGTTCTCTTAGTGTTTCGTAATATGACGAACACACTAACCCCGTAAACTACCTAGCTACTGTAGGTCATTGAATTCGCAACAAATAAATAACTCGATTTAATTAATCCGACATGTTCAACTTTCGCAACGATTGCGCTAATGTACTATAACTATTTTCTGAACGCGTATCTTTGATTTTTTCTTTTTCCACGAATAATTGTCTTTTTACCGCATCGAATTTTTCCGGACTAATATTTCTTCTCGATAAGATTTGTTCTCGAATTTTACTCTGTTTTTCGGATTTACTCTCGTGCTCGTATTTCGAAAAATCAAACATTTAGAATTTTTAATTCAACAACAAAAATTTAAAGTCGCGTTTTGTACTTTTTCGTACTTTAATCCTCTCACTTGCCCAAGTGGCTACACACTTCCGGCAAGGTTAAGTCGAGGAATTTTTCCCGAATTTTTAGAGAAACCAGAGCTTGCCGAATGCAAGGGTAGCTACTGTGTCTCGGTTCGACGTTAGCGAACCAAACAAAAATAAACAAAAATTCTACTCGCGCACTTGACAAAAATCCCAAAAAAAAAATTTTGTCTGAAAACTAAAACATCATAACATCGACACAATAAATAAATTTTTCAATTCAATAATTGTTCATGGTGTATAAATTCAATTGCATCATTTTTCCATCATTTAAATCCTCAGTGTTTAATGTGTGTTTGTAATTGTGTTTTTAAAACATGTACATTTTTAGAAAGAAAATTTATTTTTTTCACTCTTTACTGATCTCTCATTTTTCTCTCTTTTAAATTATTTTCTCAAAAATATGAGCGACAAATCCCACCGCTGCCACCATTTTGTTAAAGACGGATGTTGATTAACAAAAAAATAAATAAAGTAAAATAAATTTTGAAGAAAAATAATAAGTTAGAAACTACACTAATCTTTATTATTAACAACCCGCTTATTCGGTAAGCGTAATTGCTCTTCGCTACACAAGATAGAAAAAGGTAGTGGACAGTCGCTTAGAGTGTTATCTATTCAACACCCCCGGGTAGACGGTATTTCGTCGAAAATATTCACAAAGAAAGAAATGAGATAACACAAATAAAGGTGATTAAATAAATTGAGAATTGAATTGACATAAAATAAGGTAACATTTATTCATACAACCCCCAAAAGAAAATACATTCAAAACCCCAATTGATCTTTAATAAAAATGATTACAATGGAAAATACTGCTACGTTAAGCTACTTGAATTGATAATTCAAGTCTCACAAAAATCATATATTATGAACACAAACAAGAGATCAATAATGCGTGTAGGATTTTAATAACAACAGCAAAAAATTAATTCGTGTAAATGAAACAAGTGTAATAGTGTTGGTTTTATGAGATTCTGTAATTTTCAAATTATGAATATAAATTCAAGACAACTCACCCAAATAATAATAACTAAAATGATACCGAAAAGTATCAAATTACTTTCTCACTCTCAGAAGTTAAATTGTTATCTGTCATATGATTCTGCAGTATGCGGAAGCTATTCTTTCTACCTTCGTTTATTTTATATATTTTCTTTTATCAAACTTGTTTTTGTTAATTGTCTTCGAACAATTATTTCAATATTTCAATTTCTGTTTATTAAAAATTCAGAGTATTGGGTCACAAAATCTGAATTTTCTGAACAGTAAACTTGAAATATAAACAATTGCGAATATATAATAAATACTTTTAGACAAGAAATGGATTCTTCACTTTAACAATTAGAACACTTTATACTTTTCAGATTATCTTCTTGATTTCAATGAACTTTTATGTACTCGTCGACTTCACAGATTGTGGAATAAACACTTATATTTTTAATAAATAAAACTCGATGAACTTCAACCCTTACTATGGGGAGTAAATGATCCTCTCTACCACTCTTAGTGGGAGTTAAACTTTAATACTCATCCGCTCCTTGGCGGGAAATACATCCGCTCTGCGGGAAAACCAAATTAAGACTCCTCGAATAATAATTTTGTGGCCACGATCACACCCATTTGGTATATAATTTTAGGTGGTGGGAGGGTTGATTTTGCAATCAACACCTCGTTGTTTCCATGCAAGTTTTAGCAAAACTTGCATTTTAATCGTGGCGTGATCGGTTCAACCACCTTTATTAACGGTATACTTTATGTGTTTCCTCATTTTCCTAAAATAATGTGGCAACTCTTAGAGTGTAAGTCCCACAACTTGCGAAATCGACTGTGAATTTAGTTTGAATTATTTCGCAATATGAAGTTCAATAAACTGAACTCATTTGCGAAATAAACTTTGATTTAGAAATTTAAATAACAAAAAAATGAATTTATAAATATTTATTGAATAATTAGAAATATTATTTAACTATTCTAGTGTCTAAAACTTAGTATGTGTGTGTGTTGTGTGTTGTATAGACGTATGTATATAATTGACAAATAGTTGTAACGTTGATAATATAAATATTATTTTTAATAAATAATATTTATCGCCTAAAAAAAATTTAAAAATTACGGAAATCCGTCCGTAACACACCCCCCCCTCTCTCTCTTGTTTACAGTCTTCGAGGTCTGCCTCAGACTCATAAACGCCTTTGTTGCCTGCAAGACTGTCTCGGGTTCAACAAAGAAACTGACCGCAGAGGTCTTCGAGGTTCGCCTCAGACTAATTGGATTTCTTTTACCTTCGAGTTTGGCTCAGGTTCAAAAGGAAAGTCTCTCATTCGTTTACAAATGCTTTCGTCACCTTCGAGTTTATCTCAGGTTCGACAAATTTTTGTTAATGTGACTTTGTTTCTTCCTGTTTAGATCAACGCCGCTTCGTTACGATCATCTACTGTGTAGAGGCGTAATAATGTCATCCCTGCTCAACGCTCAGAATTCTTTGGTGGCTCTCTTAGTTCAATTTGTTGAAACTGTCAATAACACTGAGCCTAACACCTGGTCTCGAGGGATGTTAGAAAGCTGCCTAGAACTACTTCGGAGCTATTGGAACAAACTACAAGAGAATCATTTGGACCTCGTGGGCAAGGAACGGCTGGCAGGAACCCGTTATTTTACAGAAAATATTTGCGAGCACACAGAAGGAGCTGTGTTGCAAGCTTTTAGTTATCTTTATGACGAGCGTAGCCGTCTGGATTCAGCTGAGCAAGCTGCCGCTCGCCCTGCACCTACGCTTCACCATTTACCTCGAATCAATCTACCAAGTTTCAATGGAGCACAGAAAGACTGGAAGTCATTCCGTGATCTTTATCAAGCTCTTATCCACACAAACAAAACGTTAACTGATGTCCAAAAATTATGTCACTTGAAAGCCGCTTTGCAAGGAGAAGCTAAAGGAGCGTTGGATGGCGTTCAAGTCACAGATGCCAACTACTTAACAGCTTGGCGCCTCTTGCTGAAGCGTTATGACAACAAACGAATTTTAGTCCAGGAGAGTCTGTCGACGCTTGTCTCAATCAGTGAGTTGAGGAAAGAGTGTGCCGCAGATTTACAATCCCTCTTGGACACACTGAACCGAAAGAGAGAGTCTCTAAAGGCTCTCGGACGACCGGTTGAGCACTGGGATGACTAGTTCGCTTTTCTTCCTGCTCGAGGCATGGACTCTCGTACTCGCCGGGATTGGGAGCAGGAACTTCGAGGAGAGGATAAAATTCCAACCTATGATGAAGTGGAATCCTTTCTTCAAAGAAAAGTTTGGGCATTGAAAACTACTGAATCAAGTAAAGGGGAGCAGTCAGTGCATCAGGTCAAAATCCACGAAGCCAAAAGCCTGCTTCTCGTAGCGGCGCTCGAGTGATGGCGGTATCGACCTCCAAAGGTACATGTAGTCTCTGCGGGGATCAACACTATCTAGGTCATTGCGCTGACTTAAAAACGCAATATCCCGAACAACGAAAAAAGGTCGTCACACAATTAAAATTATGTTTTAATTGTTTACGGAGCGGACACATGGTGCGGGAATGCCTTTCCAAATCCAGATGTCAAGAGTGCAAAGCACCACACCACACTCTTCTACATCAACCAACCACTCTTAAACGTCCTACAGAAGACACGCCACGACCTACCGGTAAGAAAGCACGGTTCGAGAAAGAGACTTCTTCTTCTCACATTATCGACGAGGCATCATCATCCACAGCATGACTGACCTTGTTAGCCACTGCTCGAGTCCTGGTGGATGCTAGCAATAGTACACAGGTTGTTGTTCGAGTCCTTATTGACCCAGGCTCTGAAGCCAGTTTCGCATCAAGTATCCTGATTCGTCGTTTAGGTTTGATGCAACGGGTTACTAATGTACCTATTAGCACTATCGGAGGCTGTCAGATAGAGACTGTACGTGGAAGTGTTACTCTTCATCTGCACTCAAGACAGGCATCTGCATCTCTTGAGGTTCAAGCATTAGTTCTTCGTTCCCTGCCGATTACAACACCACCACAAAAAGTGGTGAAACCGGAATTTGCTCATTTGAAAAGAGTTGCACTCGCTGATCCAGATTTTACTACGTCTCAAGGCATTGAGATTCTCTTGGGCGCCGATGTTTATGGATCACTTCTCCTTGATGGTCTTCGTCGGGGACCATGCGGTACTCCCATCGCTCAGCAGACGATATTTGGCTGGGTAGTTATGGGATCAGAGACACAATCGCTGATAAAATACGTATCAGCCTTAACGACGAACCCTCTTGATGACCTGTCCAATAACCTAGAACGATTCTGGAACCAAGAGGAAGTCTCAGCTCAACCTGTCCTGTCTCGTGAAGATCAGGATTGTGTACAACTGTTTCAGAAAGGTGTTCGACGTGACAACAGTGGGAAATACCGCGTTCGACTTCCCGTTCGGTCATCGTGCAGCTCTCAGTTAGGTGAATCCCTGAGTACTGCCCGAAGCATCCTCAAATCAACACTTTTCCGCATGGACAAAGATCCCAAACTGGCTAAAGAATACGCACGCTTCATACAGGAATACGAACGACTTGGGCACATGCGTCCTGTCTCACCGTCGTCGATTGTGCCCCATGACCCCCCTCCGTATTACATCGCTCACCATGGTATCTGGCGGAATGCTGATGGTAAACCAAAACTCCGCGTTGTCTTCAATGCTTCTCGACCATCAACAACTGGATTATCTGCTAATCAGTTGCTACATACTAGACCCAAACTTCAGATTAATCTAGCCACCATTCTAATGCGATGGCGTTTCTTTCGTGTAGTCTTTGTAGCGGATATCGAGATGATGTACAGGATGATTTTAATCGACGAGCGTGACGTTGACTTACAAAGAATCGTTTGGAAACGACCCGAAGACGACAAGGTTACTCACTTCCAGTTATTAACTTTGACTTACGGAATGTCCTGTTCTCCATACTTAGCCCTCCGAACCATGCAACAGCTTGCAACTGACGAAGAAGCTAGTTTCCCGGACGCCGCTCGCATAATTCGTAAAAACACCCACGTCGATGACGTTTTTAGTGGAGCTGACGATGAGGCATCCGCCGCTCAACTTAAAAGCCAACTGATATCAATGTTGTTAACAGCAGGATTCCATCTGAAGAAGTGGATCTCAAACCATCCCCCTTTGTTGTACGAGATTCCGGAATGCGATAGACTTCATCCTCATTGGAGACATTTTGAAACCGGCGGACCCACTAATGCACTAGGCGTTGCTTGGAATCCCGTGCGCGACGAGTTTCGCTTCCAGCCTGCCACTCTCGAATTCAAAAAGGAAATCACGAAGAGAAACGTGTTGTCTGCTATCGCGAGATTGTTCGACCCAGTTGGTTGGCTCTCTCCGATTCTAATTGTAGCGAAAGTTATTATGCAGGATTTGTGGCGTGCAAAACTTGGTTGGGATGAATCTCTGCCAGACGCATTATCTCAACGATGGATCACCTTTAAAAGCCAAATTTCATCAGTTTCGATGAATGATGAATGATCACATTCGATGCCCACGTTGGCTAGGAAACCAACCACATGACTCTTATGAGATCCATGGTTTTGGTGATGCAAGCAATACCGCTTATGCTGCTGCAGTATTCATCCGAATTCAAAGACAAGGCAAGGTCACTTCTCGCCTGCTTTCAGCAAAAACTCGAGTAGCACCTGTAAAAATAATAACGATCCCACGGTTAGAGCTCTGCGCACAGTGGTCCTCAAGCATCGACAGGTTCGACTAAAATGGATCCAAAAATTGACTGAACAAGCTTTTAAAAGACTATTCGTAGATGTAAAAACTGGTTTTCATAAAATCCTAGCTGATCGTTTTCTCGAAAAAACTCAAAATTAAGTTTCACGAAATGTATTTTTAACATTGTATTATATACTGTTCAATAATCAACAATTATATCTTTAATGTTCTTTGGTAAACCATTTTAGTGCACAGTACGTACTCACTAAGCATTAATATATTTGACTTATAGTAAAATAAATACAAAAGCTTGTAGAATAGCTCATTAGATTACTCTTTATAGACGCTAAAACGACTTTGTCTGAAATCAAAACCAATTTTTTTCGAAATATTTTTAAACTGCGTTTTACAATAATTTTTTATATTTTAAGATTACCATTATGCTTAACTTATCATTTAAGCTTTATTTATCTATTTATATTTAAGTTGAAATTCCATTCATTCATCCATTCATATCAATGTATTTGTGCATTAGTTTAGTAACGTTTTGTAACAACTGACTGATTAACTTATTGCTTGTGCTCAAGACCAATTGCTTTTTCTCTATTTTAAAATGAGTTCACATGAGGAGAACCGGAAGAAAATATGTGCACCTTGCGGTCAGAAAATTGCTTTTAGAAAGGTTAAACCAGAAAAGTTTCTTATAAACAAAAAGTTCACTAATTTAATTAAAAAACTTATCAACAATAGTTTTAATTTAAATGATGAGAAATTTTTATTAAGCATTTGTAGAATATGCTATCTTACTTTTCTTGATTACGAAAAAAGTATCTTTAAAAGGCCAATTTAAATTAAAATTATTGTTGATAAATTTTTTAATTACATAAATTAGTTAACTTTTTGTTTATAAGAAACTTTTCTGGTTTAACCTTTCTAAAAGCAATTTTCTGACCGCAAGGTGCACATATTTTCTTCCTGTTCTCCTCATGTGAACTCATTTTAAAATAGAGAAAAAGCAATTGGTCCTGAGCACAAGCAATAAGTTAATCAGTCAGTTGTTACAAAACGTTACTAAACTAATGCACAAATACATTGATATGAATGGATGAATGAATGGAATTTCAACTTAAATATAAAAAGATAAATAAAGCTTAAATGATAAGTTAAGCATAATGGTAATCTTAAAATATAAAAAATTATTGTAAAACGCAGTTTAAAAATATTTCGAAAAAAATTGGTTTTGATTTCAGACAAAGTCGTTTTAGCGTCTATAAAGAGTAATCTAATGAGCTATTCTACAAGCTTTTGTATTTATTTTACTATAAGTCAAATATATTAATGCTTAGTGAGTACGTACTGTGCACTAAAATGGTTTACCAAAGAACATTAAAGATATAATTGTTGATTATTGAACAGTATATAATACAATGTTAAAAATACATTTCGTAAAACTTAATTTTGAGTTTTTTCGAGAAAACGATCAGCTAGGATTTTAAAAAAACCAGTTTTTACATCTACGAATAGTCTTTTAAAAGCTTGTTCATTCAATTTTTGGATCCATTTTAGTTGAACCTGTCGATGCTTGAGGACCACTGTGTGCGCAGCAGTATTACACAGGCACACAAAAAAAAAGTTGTCTGTTTCTTGAACTACACATATATTTCCTATAGTATTTTGGCCCGCTGAAACCGAATCTGAGCTCAAAATTGCTCCATCACCCTCAGTTTTTTCTTAAATCGACCAAAACCACCCTTAAATGGACAAATTCACACTTCGGAGATAAAAAATAAATCAACTTATTTTTTAAAAAAAACCAAACTTTACATCTACGAAACTTTGCTCCACTAACTCAAAAACAAAGCCAGCATTGATCCAGCACCCCCTGAATTTTTTTAATCGAAAAAACTACCCCTAATCTGAAGAATCAAATTCAGGAGGTAAAACAATAAAATAACTGATTAAAAAATTTTATAACCAGGTATTTTTACTCCAGCAAGGCAAAAACAAAGCCAGAAATATTCCCTCACCCTCTAAATTTTTTTAAATCGAAAGAAACACCCTTAAATAGAAAAATTCAAATTTAATAAGTAAAAAATATTAAATTACCGGTTTCTTTAAAAACAGAACCTTACATGTATGTAGTTTTGCTCTACTAACTCAAAAAAAAGCCAGCATTGATCCATCACACTCTGAATTTTTTTAATAAAAAAACTACACTTAATCTAAAGAATCAAACTTAGGAGGTAAAACAATAAAATAACTGATTAAAAAAGTTTATAACCAGGTATTTTTACTCCAGCAATGCGGAAACAAAGCCAGAAATGCTCCCTTCCCCTCTAAAATTTTTTTAAATCGAAAAAACCACCAAAGAATCAAACTTGGGAGGTAATACAATATAATTATTTTGTATTACCTCCTAAGTTTGATTCTTCAGATTAAGGGTAGTTTTTTTTATTAAAAAAATTCTGAGTGTGATGGATCAATGCTGGCTTTGTTTTTTTGAGTTAGTAGAGCAAAACTACAAACATGTAAGGTTCTGTTTTTAAAAAAAGCCGGTAATTTAATATTTTTTTACTTCTTAAATTTGAATTTTTCTATTTAAGGGTGGTTGTTTCGATTTAAAAAAATTTTAGAGGGTGAGGGAGCATTTCTGGCTTTGTTTCTGCATTGCTGGAGTAAAAATATCTGGTTATAAAATTTTTTAATCAGTTATTTTATTGTTTTTCCTCCTGAATTTGATTCTTCAGATTAGGGGTAGTTTTTTCGATTAAAAAAATTCAGGGGGTGCTGGATCAATGCTGGCTTTTGAGTTAGTGGAGCAAAGTTTCGTAGATGTAAAATTTGGTTTTTTTAAAAAATAAGTTGATTTATGTTTTATCTCCGACGTGTGAATTTGTCCGTTTCAGGGTGGTTTTGGTCGATTTAAAAAAAACTGAGGGTGATGGAGCAATTCTGAGCTCAGATTCGGTTTCAGCGGGCCAAAATACTATAGGAAATATATGTGTAGTTCAAGAAACAGACAACTTTTTTTTTTTGTGTGCCTGTGTAATAATCATTATCGAAAATAATATAATATGGAAAAAGATTAAACAACGCTAATTCACGTTCATGTAAGACTATCATTGTTGCATTAGTTAGCTGAATTATAGTTAATGAAATATTTTATAGGTGAAACACATGTAAGTAAATTTTTAAAAGCAATAAACTAAAATAAACGACTTGTTTTGAAAATTGGCTTTATCAACAGTTTAAAAGTTGAAGAAGGATACCATGTCGAACATAGAAGATTATTTTATTTTAAGTAATGAAGATATTAAAATTATTGAAAATGTAAATGAAATGTTAAATGATATGCATCTGTTTATATTTCAAGAATTATAAAAAATGATTCAAATTCTTTTTTCATTATGCAAAATACTTTGTATTTACAAATGCTTGATTTAATTGTTCCAATTAGAGAAAGAGATATACATATTCAAATAGTTTTTAGCGGTAATAACAATTCTGGTCATTGGATTTGTGTTTATTACGATGGAGTAAGACTTTATATTTTTGATAGTCTTAATGCAGGGTGTTTGAATATTCATCAAATAGAATATTTAATTAGATTGTTCCCTTTTAAACCAACAGAATTTTTTGTAGATGTTGATCAACAACCGATTGGTACAGTTAAGTGTGAAGTATAATGCAATAGCATTTGCAAAATCTGTATTGGTTAACAGTGTAAATTAAAAGATTAATTTATGAAACTGATAATAATATAATGAGCAAGCATTTGATATCATTTTTTGAAAACAATTAATTAAATCATTTTCCGGCAGTTAGAATGTCTAATATTAGGATTTCGATTTGTACAGAAATATTGGAATTGTCTTTTCATAAATCGAGCTAAAGATCTTCAAAATGGTGCACTAAACCTTTCATATTTTTTAAAGACTTTTACCAATAAAAATGACAACAGAGTTCTGTCTACTGAAACTGAGAATGAAATGAAAATACCCAAAGAAAAAAATTTGTCATGTAAGATAAAGAAATTATCTACAGAAATTAAGGAGGTATTTACATGTTGATATAAATTCAGTATGCACAACAGAAAATATTATTATTTTTGTGAGATCAAAATTCCAATAAGTGTCCGTCAAATAAAAATAAATTTTTAATTTTTCATAAAAATTATAGATATCACGCGCGTTTGCGCGCGTTTCTTTTAGCTAGTTTATGTTTTAAATTAATATATTATTAATATTGTATAAAATTTATCTTAATTTTGATCAGTATCATTGAAGGATGAAATGACAATTGTTAAATATTAAATGTTTTAATTTATTATAATTATAATTAATTATAAATAATAAATCGTAAAACCTTTTAAAATATCGGTTTTTATTTTTATTATTGTTAAAGTCGGATGTTAATTAACAAAAAAAATATAAATAGATAATTTAACGAGAAATAATAAATATTTAGAAAGAATACTAATTTTTATTATTTAACAATTCCGCTTATTTGGAAAGCGTAAATTGCTCTGCGCTAAAAAAGTTAGATTGAGGTAGTGGACTGTCACTTAGAATATTATTTATTCAATACACCCGGGTAGACGGTATTTTAGTGAAAATGATTAAAAAGAGAAATGAGACAAAAACATCAAAAGGTGATTAAATAAATCAAAACTTGAATTAGCACAAAACAAGATTACATTTATTCACTCAACCCCCAAACAGTGTACATCTAGTTCCCAAATTGATCTTTTGATAAAAAAAATGTTTACAATTAAAAAGCCATTTACGTTAAGCTACTTGAACAAATTCAAATCTCACAAAGAATGGTTTATTTCAATCAAAAAAAAAAACAAAATGATCAAATGAAAGAAATATTCAATAATAAAACGAAAATAGTTGGTTCTTCATAAAATTAAGACAACAAATAATAAATTGT